TAAAAGGTCTTTCGATGTGTAGGGGTTTATTTTTGTTGTTTTTATGTGCGTCACCTAGCAACAGTAAACACTGCGTCTCGCTGCAGTGGCGTGGCTCGAACACGCGATGGCGCACAAGCCTTTTTACTGGATCAGCTACATTACACCTTAAAGTACAACAGACACACATTTCACAAAAAATCTAACATGTAACTTAACCGTATATAAGCTTTATTCTAATTGTTCATACAACATTTCTTTAAGATGCATGAAAATTAATAAAAACCAACAACAAACCAACCACACACAGATAATAATGTGGTGCACTTTGTCATTTCCACTTTCATTTAAAGACGTGTGTAACATAATTTGTTTTTTGCAATAATTTCTGCTCTTGAAGGGATGTTATTCTTGTGTTCAGAGTATAAATATACATTATGTGCAATACACTGCAGGTATGTTCTTCTGTTTGATTCTATAAAGTCTAAAGCATTGTACTGCGTTATTGCTGTTAATAGTTCTTTTTAAAAAATCCTCAAAAGTTAATAGATTATTACAACAAGGTAAAATTCCACTCAATAGGAGTGACGGAATGATTATAATTTATTTTTTGTTGCAGACAAGTACTGAACTAAAATATTTATTAATCCCTTCCAAAATAAAAAAATTGTGAAAAATGATAACAAGTAAAAACAAAACCTTTATTCCAAGGTCGTGTTTCTTTTCATTTGATATTCTGAATTGCTTGTCTAGACAAGGATTCATAATCTATTCAAGTCTTGGTGCAGCAGTTTGCCCACAGAAACCTGAAAAATGTCCGAAGGAGATTAGTCATTAAATATTCCATCTATTTCTTTAACTCCGCTTTACAGTAAACATGATATCTTCTGGTTTACAGACATCAGCAATAACTTCAGTGTTAAATCTAAAAAATCCTGCAAGATTTTGCTTACATTTGGAAATGCGTGACTAGAAATATTCACACCAATAAATCTTGTCTCTATAGTCTTGTCTCTCAGAGCTTTGCAGTCTTCTCACCGACTTCCAGAAGCCATTTGTTCATCCTAATATACGCTGTATTCCCATTTAAACCAATACCGTTCTGTGCCATGGTGGAAATGTTTGCCTGGAGCAAACAAACCCATCAAAATGTAGTTGAGGAGTGCTGAATGAATGAATATGACCAGACTGTGAGAAAATGTAGCCAGCTTGAGTACAGTGTGATTTTTGTGTTTTTGCTTACATATGTTCTCTTAGGGCGACAGATGACAGTTGAAGCATATTTTCTCAGTTCACTCCCAAGGACTGTGTCTAAACTTTCTTCACAAACACACACACACACTGACGCGCCTCAACTGCACTTGCACGCGCTTGTACGAGGGCATGTGTGTCTGCTGGTGCAATAGCTGGGAGCATTTTCCACTAACGAGAAAGAAACTTTTAAGAAAGTAACAACAGCTACCCACATGACCAGTGACCTTGTGACAGTGCAGTGTGTGTAAAAAAAGTGGAATGGCATTTCTTCACATTGTCTGTGAGTACACTTGACTTCACCTGCTCTCACACACACAGATAACAGTACTTTCACATCTTGTAAATAGTACTTATGGTTGGGTGGTTGCTGTGGGTGCGCTGATACACTTTCAAGACTGCAATGACAATCCTTCTCACCACTTGTCTCCTCACATTTCATTTCCCTTTCATTTGGTTTCCCCTCCTCCTCCTACTCCAGCCTTCCTTCCCCTCACGCCGTCCCATCTGCTCTCCTCGGAAGTAATCGTGTTGGTTTTTTTTACGCTCTCCCGTTCCTGTCTTTGTTGGTTGTGTGAAGTTTGTGTGTATGTGTGTGCATGCTTCTTCTTACACTTACAGACAGCTTAATAAAGGTTGAGATGTTGGGCTCTTGGTTCCCGTCTCATAACCTGATTCAGGTTTTATTGGCCCTGTGTGAAAGATATAATGGAAACAGGTTATAACTCAAACACTGGAGGGGCTGCAGGGGGAGATTTCTGTGATTTCAGTGTGGGTGGGTGACAAGTCCCCTGTGGTGTTTGTGTATGTGTGCGAGGAAGAGTGAGCAATATGTATTACGGGTGGATGGGAGGGCTTGTGGTGTCAAGCTTTGTTCCCCGGCTCCTGTCACAGTGTCGGGCTGAGTTATCATCAAGGCAGCTTTTGAGTTCCTCAGGCTGGGAATAGTAAAAGGCCAGTTTGTGAGTTTATTCAAACTCCAGTGTCACCCACACGACAGGGAAGGTACCATGGATGGTGAGTTGATCAATTACGACAAGGTTTCAACTAACTATTTTTGTTCTCTCCCTCTAACATGTATAGTTAACAAGGATCCGTTTGTAAATCAAGTAATGTGGGTTAACGGCAGGGATATAATCTCCATCATCCCCTGAGTGTTATTAGGAAGGAAGCATTTTGTTTGGTAAAAATGTGACAGCAAGGAATTATCAATGGCTGACTAGTGTGTGGTGAAGTGTGTTGAAAGAATTATCCTGTAAAGATTTGAGGATGTGATTAAATATCATGCCATTTTCCTTGTTGTGTCACTTCATTAGCTCCCTTCATCAACAGACATTTTAAAATGCATGGTTTTCAAATTTCTGTTTGGCGGCCCCTGAATGCTGATATTCATGTAAAATTTTAAATAAAGTAATGGATGCCATGTTTCTTTCCTCATGATTATATTATTTTCTCTCTGTGTCTTTACTTTTCCCTATTATTCATGTGTATTGTATTATTTTAATTCATGAAAAAAATATCTCCTATTTGTTATCGCTCTCTCTGAGCAGAAAGTAGTGTACATTACAGTGTACTTGACCCTGGTTTTTTTCTTTTAATTTGTTCAGTTTTGAGGTCACTATAGAGGATATAATGCTGTCTACTGGCATGCTATCTTTTTTCCTAATATCTTTTGGAGAAAGGAAAAACAAAGAAATTCTTTCACTGACTGAATTTCAATGCAAGAGAGACACACTTGCCTCTTCTTCTGAACTTTTCTATGCATTCTTTTTGGATAACAATAAAATGTATTGAAAATGAAAGAGCATTATATCTGAACAACTTTACACCATCAAGAGAAAAATCCATAAGTATGCTCTGAGGCAGACACTCAAACCTTTCTTTCATGAATAAAAATACTTTTTCAATTCAAAGAAATAGTCCACATAACTTGCATCCAAAAAGCGGAAAACAATCTTTTTAGAAATACACACAGAATGAGAGTCGACATGCAGATTGAGAGTGTGTTACCTTCACAGATCACTTGCTGTCTTTCAAGCTAACTCCATGTCCCAACACCAGCCTCTGACCTTTCCTAACCAGACTATGTTTTAATTACCAGGTGCCCCCCATTGCCTGCTAATTAAAACATGTTATGTATTGTTCAGACATTTTCTCCATCATTGCTCTAACATAAAACAAACGAGAGGTGCACACTTTTTCCCGTCACACTCCATCAAACCCACTCTAACACAGGTTTGATGGCTAATGAAAGCAACTGATATTTTTATGAGGAGGAAATGTTTGCTGAGGTTTTTAACCTTAATGAAATCCCTCTGTATTATTTTTTTTTTCATTCTGGTAGCTGCTGACCTTTGCTTGGAGTGTCTGTGACTGAGGTTCAAAGGAAGCTGTACCATTTTCAATCAAGCACCACTTAATAAAAATGTAAATTGATTTTCTGTTGCACAAATGCAGTCTGGAATGGAATTTGAAAGAGCTGCTTTCATTGAAAATGCACCAGTATAACCAGTGATAAGCATGGTGGAGGTATAGTAACATTCAAAATTAAGATAAGCACAGTGTATGTTTGGTATATATATATATCTATAAATCCATAAACGATGTCTTCTCCATGCATTGGCCTGTGGTAAATATTTTCATACTTTTTTATTTGCACGTGCATAAAATTCTAAATATATGCATAATACATTTGAGTCTTCTTCTCCTTTCGGCTGCTCCATGAAGGGGTTACCACAGCGGATCATCTGTTTCCATCTTGTTCGCAAACCGGGCCAAGCCCATCCCACCATGGAGATCTCATGATCCTCATATTTGATTTGGCATAGGCTTTTCACACCGGATACTCTACTTGAGGCAAGCCTCCCTGTTTATCCAGACGTGGGACTGGCAATTAGGAATGCACTGGTCTGTGCATCCCCAGTGGCTGGGAAGCAACCTGGGCGTCAGTGTCTTCCCCAAGGACACTTTGACATGTGGACAGGAGGAGGCGGTGATCTAGCTGCCAACTCTGTAATAAGCAGCTGACCCACTCTACCACCTGAGCCACATTTGAGTATTGAACAAGTTCACTCTTGGCAAAAAACTCAAGGTCCACTTACTAGCTTTTTCCACATCTCATTGTTTTCCTCAGGAGAAAAGTGATAACATCTGAGCAAACTCCATCCATTGAGGAAGACCTGCCTGTGTAACTGAATTGATAAGCAGTATAATTAATTGTGTCAGGGGTTCCAACCATGAAGTCCAATGTGCCTGGTTCAAATCTGAGACCTTTTCTCGCACGTCGTTCTTCATCTTTCTCTCTCATCATTTCCTATAATCTCTGTTGACTCTACAATAAAGACATTAAATTCCCCAAATATATTTAAACTAATTATAATTCCATGTGTGGTGCCAGTGGACATAATCCAGGTAGGAATAACTGCAAAAAATGTTTGGATGAACAAATTTGTATAATAACCGCATTTTGAGAAACAGGATTAACTGTTTGGGTAAGAACAAATATAGTTTTATATATATATATATATATATATATATTCGATTCAAAGCTCCAATTTCTCATCTGACAATAAGGATTTGAAGAATTTGTTTGGGGGCATACTAAACTGTCCTCTGATCTCCAGCGTGAGAAAGTGGTTTTGTGGTTTGGCTCTGGACCCCCGTG